ATTTTCAGGATCTACTTAACTTTGAGGCTCTTTTTTTTTTTTTTCTGGTCTAGTTTTTATTTCCATCCAAGGAATACAAGTATGTAGTTTTAAAGGAAGTAAGTAATACTACAAGATTTATACCAGAAGTGTTGGTCTTGCCCAGCTATGCTATGCCACTCCTCAGAGGCAACTCCTTTTAACTCTTTATTTCACTCTTTATTTGTTTTAGAGGAGAGGTCTTGCTGTGTTGCCCGGGCTGGACCGTAACTCTGGGGCTCAAGTGATCCTTCCACTTCAACCTCTCCAATAGCTGGGACTACGGGTGTGCCCCACGCCTGGCTTCTGTTAACTCTTGTAGCTGTTTCCTGGGATACTTGTCCACATTTTCCTAAATAACCTGCTCAGTCTGCTGTTTTAGATGTTATCTGTTGCCTCTGTCATGGCAGATGACAATTTAACTTTTATAGAACACCATCTTCTCCTCGCATTGCTTTCATTGATACTTGGTTTTTACATTATGACTATGAAATACTTTTATAGCTGACACATGTAGGATACTATGATTGTTATTTTTGTGAAGGCTGAGGTAGAGGACTATCCACCATTTAGTGTGTAGATTTATCCCCTTTTTCAGCTGTCCCCAAACCTCTAGGACAGCCTCTCCAGAGAGGTCACCACCTGGCTTCTGATGGAGCAGGGATCTGGGTGTTCCAGAAAGATTTAATCACTCCACCTGTTTTATGCCTACTTGACACCTGGCCTTCCCGGCCACTGAGTGCCCCCACTTCCTCATCTTTGGAAATTCTGCAGTGCAGTTCAGCTTGCTTTTTAAAAATCGTCTTTTCCCATCCTCCCAACCTTCCCTTCTGTTCAGGGTAGGTTTTCAGCATACTTCCCTCTGCCAAGGTAGTGCTGGCCCATTGACTTCCTGTCTTCTGAAATGTTGTTGACCTCTCTTTCTATTACTGTCTCCTGTTCTCTTTGTCTTTGTAGGCTCACACCTGTGAGTTTATTCACTTGCTGTCATTTTAGTGGTTTGGGGAGAGAATGCGGGTGAACGTGACTTCATTCTGCCATGTTCAACAGGAAGGCCTCTGGCTCCTGTTTTTGATACATTTTGCTTTGTTTTACACGTAGGTCGACAGTGTCTTTGTATTTCCAAAAGCACATTTTGATTTAATGGGCCTATGTTTTTCATGTAGGGTCTTCTTTTCATCACATGATTCTAAGAAATTTGTGCAGACATGCACATTGCTGCTTTGAAATAGAGTAATACTGTCTCTGGGTCCCTAGTACGCTTTCTAAGAAGATCCGTCGGATGCTAGTGTTTTATTATGTAGCGGGAGGCAGAGATGATAAAACACGAAGCTCCTGAAAAGAAAGGACTGGCCTTTCTCTCCCCCTTTTAGGTGCATGCTGGTTTTAAAAACCTCTTTCTCAGTGGTGCTTTTACTATTTTGGCTCTCAACAGTTAGCTTTTCTGGAATGGAATGGTTGAGGGCAAGAGTACCTGGTGTGTGACAGCAGTGTTAGAAGCTGAATTTTTCAAAGAAGCAGAGACTCCATTAGACTTAGAGCCACTCCCTTGAGTCAGGGCCACGGAGAGCCAGGCAGCGCTGTCATGAAGGGGTGCCACTGTCTTTGAGACCACGTGGCTCTGGCAGCGGTGCACACTCCCCTGAAGAGGGGGCAGAGGCCAGAATCCCCCAACACTGGCCAGGCTTGTGCCACCTCCCAGCAGATAGACCAGTAATGCCTTTTCACATCCCTCCCTGTCTTTGAAAACCAGGACGTAAGTCACCAGTTTGTTGTCTCCTGCCTTTGGGAAATCCTCACATTTCCTGTGTGGGAAGCCAACCCATGTCCCTCCATCCTTTCCACCTCCTGCCACCCTAGCAGCGGTTCACACACTGTAGCCTGTGTACCTTGATTTGCAACTTTTGGACCATGCTCCTCCCCCCACCCCCAATAAGTTTTTTTTTTTTTTTTTGCAAGGATAATACAAAATGCAGCTCACAGACCTATTTCAGACTTTATTAAAACATCATTTCCCCCGCCTTGTTCCCGGATTTCTGTGCTTAATCATAGAAAGGCAGCTTGTTCAAATATACATTATTCTTGCTTGGAAAACGCTCTTGGCTTGTCTTCCTCCCCACCTCCCTCTGTGTTTTGTAACCTCGCTTCACCGAGGCCCTTCTCATTAAATATCATAATTTGCTCATCGGAGAGTTATTTGTAAACTTAATTAACTCTCTGTCAGTGTTTGAGTTAATTTTCTCCCTTTCATTTTAGCCTCCCTGGCCGTGGTTTTTCATACTCTGTCCTGTGTCTGTTAAAGACTTTGTAAATAGTTTTGAAATGCCAGTTGGTGATATATGGGCCTCTTTAACATTTCTTTGATTTATGTGCAGTGCTGTGGAAAAAGGCAAAGAAAGCAAATTATATGGCAAAAAATGTTGCCAATCTTCACTTTTTTACTCTTAGTTTTAAAAAGTATACTTATCAATCAAATCTGATGGATTTTCTTTTTTATAAAGATTGAAAATTTAACTATTTGAAGACTTGTGCAATGCATGTTCTATATTTGCTTAATCAAGTAACTTGGTACTAGATTAGGGTTTCAAAATTCTAAAAGCTTTCGGTCTCTACTATTTGTTCCTATCCTGCTCCCTCCCCAACTCTTCAACAATAGATTCATGAAACGGCCAGATTTTGATAGGAGTTGGAAAGATGGAATTCTCTCAATGCTGGAAGTATGTCGCTGAGTCCTTCTGGTAAACCAGCAAGAGCTGTGTCCTTCTCTTAGGTGCCTGTGACTTGTCTGAGGTTTCTCTCTGTGGCATATCTCTGATGGTTTCCAGGTCTCAAGAGACTGGCCTACTGAAGCCATCAGTGAATCTGTAAATGTTAATTTTCAGAGTTTACTATGATTGTGCACAGATTTTAGTGTGTCTCAGAGCTGCCAGGGGGGAGCCTGTTACTGTGTGAATTCCTAGGCTCCTCAGTAGAAGTTGTAATTTCACAGAAGTGGGCCCCTGGAATCTGCACTTTTGGTGAGCACTCTAGTTGATTCTGTTGCAGGTGATCTCTGACTGCGCTTTGAAAATTATTTGAAGGCTGTAATGCCCTTCATTCTACACTCCCCTATTCAGTATCTCGAATGGCACCCCTCCCCCAATCATCTACTATATGAAGTCCAAAGAAAGTGTAAAAAAAATCCATATTACTTGGGAGCACTGGGACTTGTCATTTGTGTAGGCAGGGTATATAGGTCTGGCTGTGCACAGTTATGCAATGCCTACAGACCTCTTCAGATTTTTTAAAAATTTATTTGTTCATTCAGCCACAACTATGTGCCAAGCACTGTCCTAGAAGCTGAAGCTATAGTCATGACTAAGATAGAAGTCTCTGTCCTAATGGAGCTTATATTCTATGGTATGGGAGAAAGGGAGAAGGTGGGTGGGAGAAGCATAAACTAAACAAACAAACGATACGTATGTAATACCTAGCTGGCTTTACTGCTGTGATTAAGATAAAACTGCTGTGATAGAAAGCACCTTTAGGCGGCCAGAAAAGGCTGTCTGAGAAGGGAAAGTTCAAGTTGAGACTTGTACAACAGGAAGTCAGGTATGCAAAGATCAGGGTGAAGAGTGTTCCAGGTAGAGGGGACAGCTAGAGCAAAACAGGAACAGAAAGGAAGACAGCTGGAGTAGTGGAAGCAGAGTGGTGGAATCCTGGTGAGGCAGGTGGAAAGGGGAGTGGGGCCGGAGCACATAGGTTGTCCTGCTATGTGTGTGCCCTGCGACTCTAGTATGGCTGTGGTTGCTCAGATCAGAGATGGGCACCTAGGCCAGTGGCTGCCAGCAGTTGATGAGGTCACTCACCCTCCACTGCCTGGCACAGGCTCACAGCTCCTTATCAAAGCTTTGGGCATCCGAATGTGTTTTGGATTTTACAACATTTTGTACTATAGAAAGGAAGCGTGGCTCATATACCATTAATTTCTCCAGTGAGGTCTGGGCAGTACCCTGTAATCAAATTTTGTGCAGCAAAATGTATGACTATTCACATTAAGTGAGATAAATTAAGATTTAAATAGACTCACATCAGTTTACGTCAGATTTTGCTGCCACATGAGTTTTGGTGCCTGCATCGATGAGAAGGCTTTCGATGTTCAGGACTTTTTTATACATTTTATACTGTGCAAGGGAATTATGGCTTCTACTGGCAGATTCCTGGCCCATCCTCTGATCTGGGTGTGAAACATCAGAAGGCAGTGAGTGGGTGAAAGGTATGTGCACACGAGTGTACTTGCTCAGGCGGCAGCAGGCAGAGTCCCAGGAGAGAGCAGAGGTGAGTCAGGAGGAGTTGATTGTGGTGGAGTTGGAAGCAGCAGCCTGTGGAGAGGGAATCTGAAGCCCAGAAGCCGAGTCGGGTGAATGGCTGGAAGCTGCTGGAGCAGTTGGACAGCGGCGGGCTGCGTTCCAGTCTCTAAGAGGCCTGTTTGTGGACACGGCTCCTGTAGTCTCTTTCCCATAGAGCAGACCCTTACTAACTGGGTAACTAGAGCACAGCTGTGCTCGTTGTAACCTGCAGACCTAACGGGGTAAGAAGAGGAGGTATTAGATCCCCATCATCCTCACTTCCTTGATTCAGAATTCAAATTCCTACCATACTTTGAAGTTTACTTACATCTTCTCTGGCTATCTCCCATCAGCTAATGTATTCATTTACTCATTTATTTAAAAAATACTTTTTGAGAGCATGCTAAGGCCCGGAGAGGCAGTTGAGTGTCATGGTTACAGAGCAGGGGCCCCAGAGCCAGGCTCTCTGGATTCCAGTCCTGTACCTGCCTCTTAACGTCTGTGCCTCAGTTTTCTCATCTGTGAAACAGAGATGATAATAACAGTACTTACCTCACAGGGTGGTTGTACAAATTAATTAAATGAATAGCACCTGCTTCACAGTGAATCCTGTATACACATTAGCTAATGTTATTATTTTTTTTTTATTTATAGATAAACCAAGCACACTGTTCTGGACACTGGGGCTGTAGCTGTGAGGACTAGAAGAGATACCTACTGCTACGGGGCTCGCATTCTCAGCAGATTTTGACCTAAAAGCAGAGGACATTTCTTTGTATGTCCATTCATGTCCAGCACTGTGCTCTGCATCCAACAGGCCATCCCCATTCTCAGCACATTTTTATTGAACGTTCATGTAGACCCCTCTGCTAGGTCTGTGAGGCTTGTAGAATGGAGTTCGAGACAGTTCCAGCATTCCTGTGGCATACCCTTTGGGAAAGAGTAAAGATAGATACACACACAAAAACCCCACACTATCACGTACAGTGGTCAGCCCTGGAAAAGGTGTTTCAGAAAGCCTTCCGGTCTGGCTTGAGCAACTTCAGTTCATCACGGCTCCCTGCATGCCAGGTACTTAAAGGGAAATGCAGCCTACTTATTGGGTATTGAGGACCAAAAGGACACATGAGATGTCACACAAGTTGCCTGTTATTTTCTCACTCCTCTGGATGGACGTGATTGATGATGGATGTGTGAATATTCCGTCTTGGGCATTCCCAGCTGGCTCATTTTGGTTGCTCAGCTTGTTCCTCACAGCAGATTTTGGAAAGTTTGCATAAGGCTGCTGAGCATCATTGGAGTTGGAGTAGGGAGCGTGCACGTCGGAGAAGCCCTTCTCTGTCGGGCTCAACTCTCTTATGGCCCAGCCATCCCTGTGCACTCCCTTCCCCAAATCTACCAGGAACAGACTTGGGTTGACTTGTCTATCTTCCCTCAGGTTTTTTTCATCAGACACAGCTCTTCCAGTTATTGGCACAGTCAATCTTAAGGCTTAGTTTAAGTATTAATGGCTGAACGATCTCAGCCTATTAACACTAATCGTAATAATATTTATTGAATGTGTGCTTTTTGCCAGCCACTTTGCTCAGCCCTTTTGATGTTCTTAACCCTCACTAACTCCAAGAACCGGAGTGTGATTTTGCTCAGTGAAACCTGAGATTGTTTCTAGAGTAATCGAATAGTATTGAGTAGCAGTGTTATCCCCAATAGTAGAAGAGAGCTGAGGCTTCAGAACGTTGAAGAACTCTCCCAAGGTCATAGAGGTGGTTAAGGAGAGGGCCTCTGGTGTATATCCAGATGGTGGACTGCAAACTCACCCTCTTTAAAGGAGTAGAACTCTTTCTCTGCCTAGATCTTGTTGATCAGTAGAAAATTCATTCTGATCTGTTGTTTATTTTATACCAAAAACATGCCCATTGTTATTAATATGTATGACTTCGGCTTTTTTTTTCTTCCAAGGGGAAAAATCATAGCCTTGTATTTACGTGGGAAAATCCTGACACACAGGCTTCCACCTGCATTACCTTTTCTCATACTCTCATATACTGTGTGTAGCAATCAGAACTTAAATAGACCGACAGAAATCCTTTAGCAGTCCAACGAAAAGTACTGTGGGAGCCTGGAGAGAAACTTTGATCTTCTAGTACCAGGTTCTTTGCTAGATGCATAAGAAGCACTCTTAACCTGATTGCTTAATGCATCAAGCTTGAGCCAACTTTCTGGGCATTTAGGTTGTGTGTAGATTAAAAAGAACAATCTCTACAGTGTATTAGAAGGAGCTGGCCAACGAATCCTCAGCATTGCCTTTCATTTAGAGTGCATACCTTGTTTCTGCAGGCCTTATACAATTGTCCTTAGGATTTTTTTCCCCAAGTGTTTTACTCAGAATTGCCCAAGATGCATCATCTTGTAATAGATTGTGTTCGTCAGTTGCATGAGAAGAATTCTGAGTTGGGTTTCCTCCTCAATACAGCCACTCATTTAGAACGACTTACTGGGTATATTTTTCCTTTTTTCACATTACATTTATCAGTTTATTATCTGACATGCTTAGAGTGACAGGCTTTGTCACTCTAAAAGGTGATCATTCTAATCAGTTTTGTGAAAACTGAGTAATTCCTGGTGTTTTTGGAGGATGCAAATTTCTAGGTATGGTCACTTGTGAAAATCACAAGAATAGCTCTTTCTTTGCCTGTTTGCAGTGTGCTGGGCACTATGCTTAAGGCTTTTGCACACCTAATTCCAACAACCATTCTTCATCTGTAAGAAGAGGCTGACAATACCGCCCTCCATGGGTTTGTTGTGAGATAGGGAAAAGGCACTTTGAAAGCCTGCCTTAGGGACTGTGCGCCACAAACATAAAAACAACTCTCTCCTTACGAGGTTGAACATTGCCTCTCTTATTGAGCTGATAAAGAAAGTGGCTCAGAAGGGAGGAAAAACACCCAGAATCACTCATGTTGAGCTGGGGTTTGAACTCGGGCCCATCTCACTGCAAGGCTGCGTCTTCTGTGCATTAGGCCACACTGCCTCCAGAGTGTCAGCCTTTGCTGCTTCATGGCCACGTACAAAGGAAAGCAGATGCCTTCTTGGACCCGCTGCCTCCTCATAGTCCTGAGCCACCGGGCCTTGTTCTTCCTATTCCCAAAAGGACAATGCAGTTATTCAAAATGATCAATAAAAAAATTTCTTCTTAAGCGCTCTCTCCTGTTTCCTGATTTCTGCTCTTGCATGCCTCCTAACTAAGCAGCTGTCTCCCTGCCACCGCTTTACTTCTTGTTTTTCTGACATCATCGTCATATATCTTTTTCCAGTCAGTGATTATATGGCTCCCTGTTTTCCTGTCTCCTTCCGTCTGAGTTTTCTCTTCACTACCTTTCCTTCTTCCCTGCCTCTTCTGACTGTATATCCCCAGTAAGCAGGGGGTAGGAGATGGCTGATCAAATCCCTGATTTGTAGCCAGTTGTCTCCCAGCAGACTGTTGGTTTATGGAGGGAAGCCGAGGAGGCTAATGGGGCTGCATCTGACTGTAATGAAAATGGTGCTTAAAGCAGAAACAGGCATTTCATGACACTGAAAGAAAGAACTAGATAAACTCTCCAACTAAATCTAAATGGACTGGGAGGTGCATTGAAATTCCTTTTTCTCTTCTGAGAAGCCATCCCTTCTTCACACTATCCACAAAAGAAGTTTATAAAATATCAGATTGGCAGTTTTCAAAAAATCATGTTTATTAGTTTATTGACTAGATACCTTGGCAATGAGTGCCTAATGCCTCAAATTCAGTATTTAGAACTGAGACATTGAAATGTCCAATGGTGGTTCTCATTGTACTCACTGCTTAGTTGAAAAATGTCTGTTTTCTTTTGGGGGGAAAATAAGAGAGAAATATCCAGGGTCATATTTCTTATATGGGAATATTTAGTTGCTTCCCCCGTGCCTCACTTATGAATGATTGGAAAGGAAAGAAAAACCAATGAAGTATTGTATGTTAGTGAATGCTTACGTGCCTGTTAGGGCTCTAGATTGCATTTGATTTCAGCTTTTACTAGGCCTAAGACATCTCAGGGAGCCCTGCTGCAGCTGATATGGTTTGGCTCTATGTCCTCACCCAAATCTCAGCTCTAATTGTAATCCCCAAGTGTTGAGGGAGGAACCTGGTGGGAGGTGATTAGAACATGGGGGCCATTTCCCCCATGCTGTTCTCATGATAGCGAGTGAGTTCGCATGAGATCTGATGGTTTTATACATGTTTGGTAAGTTCCTCCTTCACTTTCTTCTTTCTCCTGCTGCCATGTGAAGAAGGTGCTTGCTTCCCTCATGTCTTCTGCCATGATTGTAATTTTCTTGAGACCTCCCCAGTCATGTGGAACTGCGAGTAAATTAAACCTCTTTCCTTTATGAATTACCCAGTCTTGGTAGTGTCTTTATAGCAGTGCGAAAATGGGCTAATACACCAGCCCTTCACTAGCTGGTAAAATGTTTGCATTCCATATTTAAATTTCACTGATGTTGATTTTTGTACTAGGAAGTCAAGCTCAGCCTGCTCAGAGTAATATTTATAATACAGAATTTCAGTGTTAGGACCTCAGACATAATTCTGGCCTTACTTTGTAGACTTTTGATTCGGGCCTTTATATGTTTAAAAACTAATGTCCTACATTTCTGGTAGAAATATAAAGGTAATCCTGAGATGTGTCGTTCTTTCCTGTGACTTCTGTCTTTGGTTGATAACAGAAAGATCAGATCACAATCTGTTTTTCTTGAGTTCAGAAGTATAATATGCAAATGGATAAGGATTCTGGGGCGGTTGAACCTTAGTTAGTGGCAAGAACAAGATCTGACATGACCTTCTTCCTCTAATAGAAACAGGCTAACAAGATAGCCCACCATGTTGTCCCTCTTTGAGCTCATATTCTCATTCACTGTCATCGCCTGTCAGTAATCTGTTAGAATGCTCTCATTGAACCTCTTTCCTTTATAAATCACCCAGTCTCTGGTAGTATCTTTACAGCAGAGAAATTTTGCATTGGTCCTATTTATTTTTTGGGCTGCATCTTCTTAAGTGGCCATGGGTCTTAATTTAGGCCTCTATGACAAAATACTGTAGACGGGGGTAAACAACAAACATTTATTTTTCACAGTTCAGAAGGCTGGAAAGTCCAAGGGCAAGGTGCTGGCAGATTTGGTGTCTGGCGAGGGCTGTCTTCCTGGTTTGCAGACGGCCACCTTCTTGTTATATCCTCCCATGGTGGAGAGAGAAATCTGATCTCTTCCTCTTCTTATAAGGGCATTCATCCCATCATAGGGGCTTCACCCTCATGACCTTATCTAAACCTGATTATCTCCCAAAGGCCCCACCCTCAAATACCATCACATTAGGAATTAGGCCAATGTGTACTGAAACAGAAGAATTTTGGGGAGACCAGAACATTCAGTCTGTGATCTTTCTTTATGACCCTGTCCACTGTTCTCTGAAACCATGCAAGGCAGATTGGGTGAGCGCCTGGTGTGAAATGAGAGGGACTCCTGGGAGACTGGAAAACAACCAATTCTTATATAACCTTGTCTGTCTTTTCTTTCAGTGTTAGCTGCTCATCTTTCCTTCCCCCACCCCCTTTCTTCTGTTGTCTTTCTCTTTCCCTTTACAAATAATCCCTATGATGGTTGTTTCTTCCATTGTTAGCCACATTTTCAGTTTGCTTTGTTAGTATCGTTCAGATATGTGAGTGATATTCCTTCTAGCGGACTGACATCTCTGAAGGATGATAACATGCATACAGCTGTAGCGTAAACAGGGGCAGTTGTGGAGCAAGGCCTATTAATAGAGGTGCAAATTCTGGGAAGTTGCAATAGAACAATTCTAAACAACCCTAGCCGTTACAGATATTTAAGAAAGAAAAAGGTTGCTAGCCCTCGTCTCTGTTTACTTCTTGGATAGCTTTTGAAGTTTGGACATTTGAGCACTCATAAGTAGGGAAGAAAGAAACTCAAATGGCATTTAGCATGTAAATAATGCCATAGTGGAGCAGGAAGCACAGCCCTGATTTGGTGTCCTGCCTTCCTAGTAATTGAAGGAGCTGAAACCAAGCTTCCAGGACAGAACAAATAAGCAAGTAAATTGGAGGCTTCCTTCTTAGGGTTTATTGATGCTGTTTTGACCAAGTGAAAAGATTATTTACCCATAAAAGCTCAAGTCTAAGGAGTTTTTTGTAAACTAGTGGCTATTTGAAAGAAGTGTTAGGAGATAAAAGGAGGAAAGAAGGTAATATCATTATCTGATATTTAGATTAAAACCCAAGCAAAACAATTAGATTTATGGTATTTTTCTGTAGCTGTTTTCCTTGGCACAGATAATACCAGACAAACTTGCCTGTTATTTTGCTTAGAGTTATGTTCAAAAGAAGAAGCAGAGCTCCATTGTAATACATGATTCTTTCTCATTAACTGGAAACAAAACAGATTTCAGTAATGAGGGGCAAAGGTCTTTGCAACTCACGGTGGTGACAAAATTTCCTGATTTTTCACAAATCTTAGTTCTAGTTGAAAGCTTAATGGTCTGGGGAAATATGACTGTGTGAGACTCTCATATTAGCACCCTACCTCCCAGTGTCGCGCACACACGTCCCAGCTGTGTGGGATGTGACTCGATCCAGGCACACGTGGTGTGGATTGTTCCAGGTGTGGTATGTCCTCAGGTTGTGTCTCTGGGCTTTGGCGTGTTCTGTTGTACATTAGAAGGGTTTTCAGTGCACTTACACCAGCCAGCTCTGGCTGTTTTGGTCAGTGATCTGTGGGGGAAGTGGCACTAGTGTCCTTGCTTGCTATCATTACATATAACACACATTCACAAAGAGAATTCTTCATTAGAAACAGATTATACATGTGGAATCTCCTGGACAACACGAGAATTTCTAGAAACCCCTTAGACAACAGCACAACTGCTCCATGACAGAGCCCTACCAAAACTGCTAGGAACATTCAACTTGCCACAGTGCATCTGGAATTTAGATTTTCTGACGAAACTGTGGTTTCCCGATTTTCTTTTCTCTAAAGTAACCCTGAATATTAAAACTTGAAGACAATAGAGTTTAAAACTTCTTCAAACTCACCACCTAACACATGACTAGAGTCAGTGGGAGAGGAAAGTATGCAAGGTCTCAGCATCTGCAAGAGGGCAGAGTGAAGAGCACAAGCAGGAGCCAAGAGAGGCTGGTGATAGGAATGTGGCTGCCTCCTTGGCAGGGGCCAGCTCCCATCTAGGAGGGATCACTGTGTTCTGTTGCCGAAGTGGAGATAAATGTCAGTACCTCCAGTTAGAAAGATGAGCGCACCCATCCCTGCAGGATAGAGGTCTGTAAGGCAAACCCTGTATGACCCACCATCCTCCTGTGTATGGTGTGACCTGGGATCAGTGACCACTTTAAGGCTGGCATCTCCTCTCATTGAAATGGGGCTGCAGGTAGGGGGAAGACTGGAATCTACTATGACCTTTATCTGTTAAATTCTGTGATTTGAAGTTGTCCAGGTGCAGTCCCTATGGACCCCTTTTTCTGAACTGAAGCCTGTGAACATGCTCACTTTTTGGGCAACTGGAATAAGAGGAAAAAAGGTTTCTTTTATGGTTCTATCATGACAGTGAGCACTAGAAAGCAGTGTGTTTGCTTTCATAAGAGGCCAGCCATAAGAGGACTGTCAGATGGAGCCAGTCTGTTCTAGATTGGTTGCAGTGCCAAGCCAAGCTAGCATTCCCACGAATCTGCCAGTCTACTTGTTGGTTGACAAATTCATTAGCGTCACCTTTTTTCGGTGCACTATCCTAGACATTGTAGAGAATAGAGTCATCATTAGCAAGGTCTGTGCTCTAGAGATAAGGCTCCCTGGGTGGCAGCTTCACTCCCAGACCCAGGAATAACACCAGGCTGCCTTTCCTGGGCATATGTCCCAGTACAGGCAGGTGCTTTGTGTTTGGAGAAGGAAATTGGCCTAGAGTGACTGGCAGAGGAGATGGTGGGGCTCCCTACCCTCTTGATCTCTTCTGCTCTCCTGTGAGTCCTCTGGTCTAAGCCAGATAGAATTTATTATAACTTAGTTCTATGCTATTCTTTATATGTGATTATATGCAAAGTGATTTAAAAAAATAAAGTGAATTATAACTTATGGCCAGGAGAGCTCTTTTTTTCCCCCTTCACCCTTA